GAAGGGTCAAGTCCCTCCCTCGTAAAAGGATCACAATAATATTCTCTTGGTCCTCCGTCGTATATATTAAAAGTATTTCGCTGGGAATCGGAACGGTCTTCCATATCGATGTGTCCACTCGACCTACAAATCGAAGTCTCGTCCCCTCGAATTTCTCAAAGTCCTTGCACGAGGACATGGACGATAGGCTGGCGAGTTTCGGCGATAGCACTTTCGCAAATAACGCGGGGAAATATCCACTTTCTTTCGTTATCCTACTGTCAGCTCTTAGTTCTACCCTCCAAGTTCAAATCTCACGCCATCGATCCTTTTATCAGATCAGTCATCAGTCACAATTCTATTACTGCTGGACGAGGGATCAACACTTTCGCACGGAAGAAATCATTCGAGGCTTCGTGGGTTCTTAAAGGAGCTCGAGAACTCTTTGACATCTGTCGATCGCTTTTCATTTCATCGACGAGTAGAATATATTAATTTCATCGTCTACAATTTTAATTTTACAAGACGTGGAATAGACTAAAGGGTGTCGTGTATATCCTTTTGGTAATAGATCGTATATTCGTGAAGCGAATTGAACGCGCGGTGGACGACAGTTCTGCGATGTTATGTAAACACTCGTTGCCGCTAATCCATCCACGTAAACCATAGAACAAGGAGTTGTCTTGCAATTACTGCTTTCCAAACTGCTGCGCCCAGGTACTGCGTTCACGCCCTCTCCGTAACTAATGTTTGGTAATCGTTCGGTTCAGTCCTCGCCGTTTCCTGTTTCTCCGTTTCCAGATTCTCCCTTTGTTTCCTCCATTCGTCTCTGTTTCATTGTCCACTGACCATCCAACACGCTCCGAGACTTTATCCTTCTTCGATAACAGAAATTGTTTCTGCGCGAAGTTTTGTTCGTTCAAGATTAGTTATATTTGCTATTTTCTTCTGTATAACTAATTCTGCGAGAACCGTAAAGTAAATGAACGAATAAATATTCATCCAGTTATTTGATTCGTTATTTAATTTTAACTTGGTTTCTCCAAGTTAGAATACGTTTAATCGTTTCACCTTAAAAGTTACCAAGTTCGCGCGAGTCGCGAGTCTCGAGCACACGCATATCTGCGCCCGCAAACATTGAAACCGAAGGAGCCAGGAGCGAATCGAATGTGAAACGACGTTTAGCAATGCAAATTGGCTAGACGCAGCCTCTGGATATATTTTCCCGTTGTGCATTCGCACGTGCACTACTAGGGCTGCACGTGTGTACTCGCGGCACTTCGAGCCCTATAGACAGATGCACCGTTTCCACCATCGATTTTGAATTTCCTTTGTCGTATCACGAACCGCGAAATACGATTCGTGAAAATTACATACGCGATTGGCAATTAATCGGAAAACGAGTACCGCGACACTTTCGAATTAACTCTTCAGAGACTTCACCATTCCCCGGAATAATTAATCGAGTTTCTGTATACCGAAGTAAGTCCCCCGCGGTGCGTTTAATTAAACTTCTATATTTTTGAAGGGATCCAGGCGCGATGTCGCAATTTTGAGAAATAATTTCCACGGAAGGCCGTGATCCCATCCTTCGTCGAACCGAAACTACCGTAACCGCGCTATCAGCGGATGGAAACTTGCCTCGTGAGGTCCACGTGCTCCGTTCCATTAAACGTCGAACGAATTTATCAAATCCGCACCATTACCCCAGCTGGCAAATCGAGAGTTCATCCGACACTCGACAGCGGAGACCTTCGATTTGATATTCCATCCCGATCTTCAACTTTCATTGTTTTCCGTTCGATCTGGTTATATATCGTACCGTGTAAACAATGAATCACGATGGATTATAAGATACTGGCACTGAACGAATGTTCCTACGTATCTCTTCAGAAGTAACGAGCAATGATATTGTTCCAGATCATTGTGATCATCATCAGAAAGAAAAGGTTTCGTAGTATAAATCCACCATTCAATATCACTGCATACATTCTTCAAATGTTCAACATATAAAGGTTGCATCAGTACGACCGTGGAGGGGGAGATTCTACGTGAATAAACAATTCGAAAATAAAGAATAACATTTTTTTAATTGAGGCTTTGTTGTTCAAATAATTAAATTTTATCGAATACGATTTTGCTAGTACGTCTGACCATCACTAGCTTTTTCTACTTGTTCTGATGTCTAAGAAGTACTCCACCGAATTTTCAAAGTCCATTTTCCTATTTCCTACGAATACTTTACGTAACATTGTCAATGATCTACCGTAGATGTTAAAAAAATTCGTTCCACACGGGATATTCTAATCTTATTCCTAAACAAAAGCATGCAAGATTCGCGAGTAATAATTTTCAACTAGACCAACCTTCCCTCCTGAAATATTACAGTATACGTAAAGCGCAGGAACGGTGGGGTAAAAATTTTCCTGGATGTCAGTATTACGTGTATGATAAATAATATGTACCGAGGATTTCCTTTTAGTACTTCGCGTTTTTCTTCAGTACTCTACATATTGGAGCATAAATTGTGCGAAGTAACTGAAACCTTCTTCCCTTCGTCAAAAGGCACAACTTTAGTTTCATTTATCTTGGCTTCGAATGTGCAAATTGTTCGTGGGGGGGAAAAAATTGAATGTTAACGGTGTTCATAACACGGAGCAGATAAATTGTATGTAAAGTTTGTATCGTTTCTCCAGCGCGTAAACTCGACCGGGGAAAAATGTACACAATTTTTATCAACAACTCGATTGTGTCCGGGTAAATATGATGAAGGGCCGATATTTGCACTCCTGGCGCGATAAAGGACCTTGTAAACGTCACCGATTCACTCGTGCCCTATTGTTTCAGATAAAATACACATTTTATGGGACAATATACGCGCCATGACGGAATTTCAATCGAGTATCGCTGCTAGCTTGCTCGATCCATCGGTCGATTCGTTCGCGGTAAAAACGAACGAGACCAAAGAAGAAATAATAGCGACATTCGCGATACGACACTTTGTACGAGAATACAATTTTGTAACACCAAAACTGTATTTGCTTTTTCACGCGTTTTCAAGGCACGAATTCCTTTGTAAAATATTTATACTTTTAGTAACGATTATTACTTAATCTGACATAAGAAGTATCCACGATAATTTCGATTATTTTAGAATTTTTAATTTGAATTCGATCGATCGGACAAAATGGTTTCGTAGTGAATCCGAAAAGCCAGAAAATTTAATCGCTAACCGATCCCCCGTATTTTCCAGTGATATTAAATTTTTCTATTGCCAATTCTCTTTAAAGTCAACTTCGTCGTCCAATTGGTCAGACAAATTGGCTCCGTAGGTAATCAGAGAAAAGGCAGGACAAGGCGCTGGGAGAATAAAGTTTTCTTTATCGGTCGGCAGGGAAATCGCATTACTCGACCGGAACTTCGAAAATCAATTCGATTCGCGAACGAACGGCGTTAGAATGGGGACTGGTGAAGCAGACTGGCCGTTTTCACGTCCACCCACCCTTTCCAGACATCCCCACGGCAAGCACACCGGCACCGTCGTGACTTATAGATTTTGTTTTACTTAATAATAAAGTTCCCCCCCACGGATAAAGATAAAATTGCAAGATAAATGGCACGCCAGTCGCGTACTGAAAAATGATAACCGAATACTAGCCACGACATTTTTTGCTCGGAACGCACTCAGTGATCGATTCTCTACTGGAAAAAGATTACGAAAATCGTTTATTTCATTCTCGTACAAGCTAACAAACGTACAAAATAATCATCGACGTATAAAGTAACAATTCGTAACGTAGTCTATAAGAAAATTCTTAATATTGGTATGGCTTAAGATTAATTTACATTAAGGATGATACAAGAATAGAGTAAGAAATGCATGATAGAGTTACGATTAGATATTGATACCTAATCCATACTTGAGTACAGTCTTGACGTTTAAAGTGGAAGATTTTTATACGATGTTAAAAAGGAAATTAGTTTCGAAAATGCTAGCAATATTTTCCTTGCTTTTAAATGTGTAAAAAGATGATACTTAAATATTGATTTAAGGATCGTGAGTGGAGAGAAAATTCTACTTGTGTAAAAGACACAAGTTCAAAAATGATGAGAAATATGTACAAAATTATTTAATACTAAATTAACCAACTCAACTATATGTAGCTACAGTAATCAGACACACAAATTTACCATACATTTTGTGTTTCATTAAACTATTGCATAATTAACAAAAAAAAATTAGTGTTTCTGTTCTAAATGCCCATATATGTACATGCTGGGAACACTATGTGTCAATCTTCCCAACCCATCAATAAGTAAATTATTTACACAACTCACAATAATACATCGTTTGTACAAGCCATTACACGTTATTGTAAAAACTGTAATATTTCTTATAATCACCTATAATACATAATTAAAGTACGTAATATTGAGTAATGAGCTACTAAAAAAAAATTTCTTTATCCCAATTCTACTGAAACATATCGTATAAATAAATCAGATTGAAAATTGTTAAATAATACACTGACGAAGTAAATAAATTTTAATTCAATATTGAAAGAATAGCCCCCGTTTTAATTAGAAATTAACTGGGTCAGTCAATTCGAATAAAATTTCCAAATATGATATGTATACGACATGAAGGCACATTGTATCACCGCGATCATTTTCCAAGAAAATGAATACATTTCACAAAAATAGAACGTGGCCATTCGTCATGGAGACCTCGTTATATTTTACGTCAATGATCGCAACAAGAACAATTAATTAAATACTCCATTACTTTTAACAGTTTCATCCCTTAAAATTGAAACTTTAAAGTTACAAAGAAATGATTGCTCTTCCCTATTACCAGGCCCTAATTTTTGATACCTTCAGATGCATGCATCCTCAAAATTGACATCGAGAATTTACAAAAAGACGCGTCTCCATGCTTAACGATACATTAATAGAAGAAGAGAATGAGCACCGGACACCACGATAAAAAAATTTCCAACAAACTCTGAAAGAATCATCCCCTATTTTCTGTTGATCGGTTTCTTCTTGATCGTCCCTGTATTCGAGTTCCCGTTGCTGGAATCCGTGCTCGAGGACCTCTCAGCCTCCTTTCTCAGCAACGTCGGAATGCTCGACTTTGCATCGCTTGCCGCGAACACGTTCACGACTTTGCTAGGCACCGCCTCCACCCTCTGGACGATTTCCGTCTTCTCGGCGTAGACGGGAACGGGCGGTCTCTCGATTCCGCTCGAAGTGTCCTCCATGCGTCTGGAAAACGACGGTATCCTCGTGACCTTCGGTTTCTCTTTTAGGGGAGGTTTCTCCCTCTGATCGTGGCCCCTGTCCTTTTCGGAGCCTTGCCAGCACTGAGGCTCCGGCGGCGGAATGGCCGATACTTTGGGTATGTTCCTGTGGTCCCTGGTCCTCTGCAGGCTCGACGTGGGCTTGATGATGATCTTGGGCTGCTTCAGGTTCGACGAGGAACCTTTGGGATCCCTGGGTGTGATTATTATCCTCGGTTCCTTCCTCTCCCCGGTGACAGCTGTCGGTGGTCTGAGATCCGGAGATGAGTACTCCGACTCCATCCGCTCCGTCGAAGCAGAATTCGTTCTGCTGGTCTCCCGTTCGAGTCTGTCGTCCGAGGACGAACCCGCCAGGTTCATCACCGTCTGGCTCAAATTCTGATTAGCCTGCCCCAAGAGATTCCCAACTCGTGGAGTGATCACTATCCTGGGTTCCATCGCTGGGACTCTGGTGTCCCAGTTAGAGCCACCGAATTGCAGGTAACCGTTCCCATCCCTGCCGACGATCCGTGGCTCCGACAACGCGGTGGTTATCGAAATCTCGTTTCCCGAAGATGGCGACTTGTACCAATTCGGGTTGCCTATCTCGGTCTCCGGGTGAACCGTTGCGTTTCCAATGTTCTTGTCCATGCTGTGAGAAATCGGTTGGCCCATTCCGTGAACGGGACACATGGGATTCGAGTAGATGGTGTCCACGCTGCCGCCAGCCTGCGCTCTGTTCGTCCTGTCGATCCTTTCGTCGAGCGAGTCGATGATGCTGGGATCGGAGTTGTTCTTCGAGAGATCCGGTCTTCTCAGGAGAGGACCGATGTGCAGACTGGTCGTGACTGGCTCCGTCTTGTCGTGATTCTCGTTCTCCTCCGCGAAATCCAGACTCTTGGACGGGCCGAACATTCGCGGGGGTGGTTGGGGCGGTTGGTGAGCGGCGGAGGCCGCTTGCAGACCAGTCCTGTAGTCCCTCAACGAATTTGCGTGCTGTTTGGGTACGAATAGACTGCTAGGCGCGGGCAACGATCGCCTCTTCTCGATGTCTGGAAGCACCTTCGGATAGTTTCTGCGTTTGATCGTCTGCAGAGCCTCCTCCGGGCTGATGCAACCTCTCTCTACGATTGGCTCCCTGCAAGTTACGTTTATGTCGCACGGCGACGGACTGTTCAACCCGAAGGTGGTCAACTTCGGTCCCGATTTTATGTAAATGTCTTCAGCTTCGTCTGCAACCGATGCTTCGTGATTGACACCCAGCTCCAGACGGGGCAATCGAGACTTCAATTTTGGGTTAATCTTCGCGTAGAGGCTGCTGGCGCTGCCGGAATCGGACTCGTAAATACGCGGAGTGGAGAAGTTTGGCTTCACGCTCCTCAACACGTTCTCCATCGGCAACGGATCGCTTTTCGAGTGATGATGCTCTATGACGACCACTTGAGGAGGCGTTTGAAACTCGAACACCTTGTCGAACGACTCGTCCAATGGCTCGACGTCTTTCGCCAGCTCGATTGGCACCTGATTTAGAATCGATTCGGTCCTGGTCGCGGGTGTGGCGTCTACGGCCACCGAGACCTTCGGCAGCTTTGACTTCTTGCCAGGACGCACGACCAACGCGAGATCCTCGTCGTAAATCGGATCCTCCTTCTCCTTCAGCATCTCATGCTCCAGCCGCCTTTTTTCTTCCTCTTGTTGCTTCGTCAGCTTGTCCTGGTGCTCTTTCTGCAGAGTTTCCCGCGTCTTGCGGAGAAACCTAGGCGAGCACCTTCGTGGACATACGTAAAAATTCATTTATTCACGGTGCGAGCATTTAAGTAGTTTGGAATAATCTTGTCACAATGAACTCTCCATTATCCAACGTCTGGATGTTATTCTATAATGCTGAAGATTCTAGAGGCCAAAATAAGACGAAAATCAAGAATATCAATTTGTTGATTGAGGCTTCGTTAAAAAGTTATTAAAAAATTAAATTAAAAAATTCAAATCATTCTGGAAAAATTATTTTCGGTTGCGGGGGTCGATTATAATCATTTTTGGTGAATACACATATCCCCGAAATCCTACGCAGTTTCGAGAAAAAAATTCATTACCGAAAATGTCTGACCATATTACCGATATGTTTCACTGAAACTTTTCGGCGGAAAAAAATTTTTTCAAATCATTCTAGAAAAATTATTTTCATATGCAGGGATCAATTATAATCATTTTTGGTGAATACACATATCCCCGAAATCCTACGCAGTTTCGAGAAAAAAATTCATTACCGAAAATGTCTGATCATATTACCGATATGTTTCACTGAAATTTTTCGGCGGAAAAAAATTTTTTCAAATCATTCTAGAAAAATTATTTTCATATGCAGGGATCAATTATAATCATTTTTGGTGAATACACATACCCCCGAAATCCTACGCATTTTCGAGAAAAAAATTCTGTACCGAAAATATACTCTGTGGTCGGAAATGTTTCTATAACTTTTTAACGAAGCCTCAATCAACAAATTAGTATCCTTGATTTTCGTCTTATTTTGGCCCCCAGAATCTCCCAATAAAATTTTTCCCAGGGGTGGTTGAACACCCTGTACACGTATAATTTACATCTTAAATAATTGAGTTGTACTCTCATAATTTGGAGATAATTGTATTTACCGCTTTAAATGAATTGTTTTATGAACTTTTTACGAATATGAACACCACGTAGAGTGATTCTAGACACCGGAAAAAATTGTAGCCTTTTTGTAATTTAAGATACAAACAATTATTACAAAAAAGTGTTTAATTCCGCAACAGCAAGAATCTTTCGATTATGTTTTTTTACTGTATGATTCAATTGCAATACGCATTTATTCTCTAAACGGAATTATCCATTTATGCTCGTCAACTAATTCTTTTCATAATTCTGCATATAAAAATATTAAAGTATAATTATTACAAACGAAATAAAATAACCTGGTTATGACGTATTTCATATTCCATGGAATATTGTTTTATTCCAGCAGATGTTCGAGTGTTCCACCATAAACGACTGAACCTTATATCTTTCATTATATTTTAAAATCATGCAGCAGATATATTTACGCAATTAATTTTGTTGTCATCGTATAATATAAAATATTACGAATACATTCTGCGTTTTGAAAAAATTCTGCATAAAACATGGAATAAGTTCAAACCAGGCAAACTAGGCGAATAGTTTTGAGTTTCATGAGTTAATATTACACCTTGTTGGAAACATTTTAAATTACATCGCAATTAAAGCAAAACGCCATTCGATCGAAAGGGTAGCGTAAATTCCAAGGTATTCCAATATCGTTTAGCATTTATAACGTCATCGATCGAATAATGTATACCTATAATATACAATATATCGAGGATTCCATACCACACACGCTGCTACTAAATTTCATTTCTCGTGCAGGTTTCTAACTTTAAGTTCTTTGGAAGAGGTTCGAAACCACCGAATAAAAACGTCAAGCTTTCTGACCACTAATAAATACATTCTGTATTAGATTCCCGTGGCTCTGTATATTAAATCTGACTTATACGGATTCGTACAGGTCGTTCTTCCATTCGTTCCCGTATCAATATCTCGTATTTTCGCTTACAGAAGAGCTACAGTTTGTCCCAGTTTCCAGAATCATCCCCCCACACGGAACAGAAACGACGTTGCTAACATTTGCAATTCATCGAAACCAAATCCTCAATTTTCCAGTATCAGAACTTCCCGTCGTTTTCGCGTACAGATCAGCCCCGAAGCCCAAAACTCTAAGCTAAGTAAATTCTGCCCGGTTAGTAGAACCCGAAAGACGAAAACAGCCGGAACGCTCGGCTTCCGATGAATCAGCTCGCGTCTCAAAGCGACGAGTCTTTAAGCGAAACCGCTAATTGGATTAGCAGACTGCTCGAGGACCGAGTTCGCCCGCGATCGGCGAGTTCGCCGGGACTTCGTCGCGAATCTGCGCGAACAGCGAGAGGAAAGGCTTTGGTCTGGGGGTTAGTTCTCAAAGCTGGAGGCTGGTTCGATCACGGAAACGGATCCTTTACCGACCTGTGCACGATCTCCTGCTGTATCCACTCCCTAACCTTGATGTGAGTGTCGATGGTGGAACCGGAATTCTGTCTGGACAGTTTCGAGCGTCGGCCAAAGTTCGAGTTGTTGTCGTACGCTTTGTCGTTCTTTATCACGTCGTTCAGGTCCGGCTTGCTGTCGCTTTTGTAGCCGAGCTCGCCGTAGTGGTTTTCGTATTTCTCCGATTTCGCGCGCTTCGAGTCGTCCTTCTGGCTCGCCCGCCTCTTCGCCCCCGCCTCTTTGTTCTTCGCGTCCTGCTTTCTGCAGTACAGATACAGGAACGCGGTGAAGTTTATGAGAAGGAACACCACGCCGAAACCGGTCAGCATGGTGATCACCGAGGAACCCTTTGGCGTGCTCGGCTGGGGGGCACTTTCCTCGTCCGGTCCGGAGCCCCTGGAATCTGGTGTCGTTGCTTTGTCGTCTCTGGACTCCGTTGTCTCGGACTCCAGCAGATGGTGATCCCTCTCCGGGTACCTTTAATATCGGAACGGTTCAAGAGGTTCGCCGGACAATTGGCGGGGCAGGCGGTAAGAGGAAATATTCTGTACTTAGACGGGGTGCCTTTCGGTCGATACCAACTGCAGAATACAAACACAAGCTGGTCCATGCACCTCTAATTTTGTACCAAAAAACTGCATGCTTTGAAGAATACACTATCTAGCGGATCTCTCTTCCTAAAAATATAATGATTCCACTTGAAACACACACTTGATCTTCAAACGTCATCCATGCGTTCACACACAAAAATATTAATTACATCACTAAACAATAGTTTCAAAAATATTTCAACGTACAGTCTTAAGCGACTCCGTTAAAATTATTTATAGAAGCAATATTGTTCGAAGAATATTTTAACTTCGTAAGGAAGATTCAAAATACAAAATGCCAAGGGTAAATTTTGTGCATTAAAGAAAATATGATTCACGTTATCCTTGGAATATTTTTCGCGTTTACTTTGTCGAGAAAAGCGGTAAGGTAATTCTTAAGGACTTTTTTCAAACGCGAATATATTGTTACGTCCACGCTTAATGGAAACTGTAAATTCCTAATCCGTTAGCTAATTTTACACTCATTCAAATAAATTCCCTTCAAACGCCGGGCACAGACAGTTAAGCATTCGCGACAGGAAAGAGTTGGGGACGCAATGGAGTGCAAGTGACATTTCATTAAATATTCTGTCCGCGGCGAAAAACAATACCGGTGTTCCTGCATAAAAGCACGCACAAATGAGTGTATTTAATTTCTCAATTAACACATCAGCGCTGTCTTTTATAATTGAAAACTAAATTGAATGCGTTGAAGAACCGTACACTGGAAACGAATAGCGAGACGATGGAATGTTTGCAATAAAATTGCATTGTTCCAGAACGTCGCTTCATTAATTGCACGATAAGGTTTGTCATCGAGTGATATGTCCTTCGAACCTGGTGATGTAATACGCGTGTCGCGTAAGTAATAGGATGCAGCCAATTTATTTCGAACGAATAATCACGAAGAAAGCGACTTGTGTAAACTTCTGTCAACGAACAATACTTTTCCAAATATTCTCTGAAGTATTAAATTTGTTGAAGAACATTTAATTCCATTTCAAACGTTATATTATCATTCTGGGCTTGAAAGGTGTATCTCACCTTTTTGGTGAGAATATAATTCCCCAAAAAATTCATGCCAAAAGCGTTCTCTGGTATCTATGACCAGCTTAAAATGCTTCAAAGGTGTATCTCACTCTTCAGGTAAGTTTTATAAATGGTGTTAGGGTAAAGGAAGGTAAAATCTAAATGAACAATCACTCGAGGTACACTCATTTGGCTCAGGATGGCAGGGAAAAATTTGGCAGTGTTAAGTTGCGATTAAAACACAAGCCTGGGCGTCCCCTGAATTTCCATCGATCGTCTTACAGCGATCGCGAGAGATTCGGGGACAGATTCCATCAAAGAGATAGAAGCAAAAGCTCGTCAAACTCTTTACCAACCTGCCACCGTAAGTCTCGTAAACCTTATTGGTGCTCGCGTTCGCGTACTTTCCAATCTCGTCCACCCTGTCGAGAAACTCTGGCCGTGGCCTCCTCGGATGGATCGGCAGCAGAGCGTCTTTGTTAGGATGACGAAGTATGTTTGGCAAGACCTCGTTCCAAAACTGCATCTCCGCTGAGCGGTAGTTCGAGCCTATTGCTGGCGGTATCGCTGCAGCGACAAGAAAAGCATGTTTCATTTAGGCATCGTCGCTCTGAATAGCTAAGATAGCCGTGTTCAAACAAAGCTTTAAAGCAGCGCTCTCACCCTCGCGTGTATTTTCCCTCTTCCAATAGTTCCTTACCCACTTAGCAATTCCAGCAATACTCACGAATAGTTGGTAAAAATTTTAGATCCGTTTCTTTAAAATCGAGATCGCGCCAAGCAAATGCAAAAGCTAGCTTAAGTCTGATTCGCTGCATGCTCGTGACACAAATTGTGAATAAAAAGACCAAGAAGAACGTTCGATTGTCGGCGCTTTAAACGAACGCTGTCAATAAACTTACTCAGATTCAAGTACGTCTGATTCTGCTGGTCATATTCCGGCCATTCAATCTCGTACTGACCCCATTCCTTTGGCCCATCCGTCAGGTATGGGTACCGTTTCGCGATGTTAGGGTTCCTGGCTTGTCAAGAACGAATGGTTGCTGAGACTTCGTAGGGAATGAAATTCAATGGACGCCAGAGAAGGAAAAGCAAACTAATCATCGAAAGAAACTTTCACGATGCACGATAAATCTTTTACAAAGAATCTGTCGAAACACTTGTGTTTATTAAAATTTAATTCCCTATATAGACTCGCTTATCGACTTTTCTCTCCGACGTGTCTCTCACAGTTCAGCTCCACACATAATTATCCTAAAGAACAATGAATATTGAACTTTCGATCTGTACGACCCAAGGAAAAGTAAAGTTACTTTCGAACCGGAGTCTATATTCCGGAAGTTTAAAGCGACCTACAGCTCTGAAACTGTGAACTTTAGCAAGACTGAAAACTTTTCTGCGGAATATCGAAGCGATACGTGTGGTGGACAGTTTGGACGTTTGATTCGATCTCGAGAGTTGATTGAGAAAATGCATTAGCCCGGTAAACTGTGTATCGATACAAAGTTACGGAATTCACGATCGAAATTTATCGCTAATATTTTCAATGGCCCGAATCTGTTCTACTCGCGAGTAGATATTTCTTTATCGACTGCGCGATAGCCATCGATGATCGAAACGCAAAGTGCAAAGGGTAGCGAAATCAAACCGAAATTCACGGGCGGAATTTAATTTGTGTTTCGGGTCCCGCGTACATTTTAATCATTTTAATTAGCGATACTAGAATATTACAGATATCAATGCGCATTTAATTAAAGCCCCACGTTTTGGCAAAAAGTAATACATAACATCTGCTTCCGGAAATTAAACGCGGCCGTCGAACCCCGGATCGAATTTAAAACGGTTATGTTTTTCAATAAGGGAATTGCGTTCCCCCGTATTTGTTTAGTTGATTCGTTCGCTTAAGAGACCTTTGAAAGATCAATACGACGCGCGATGCTCTTGTATATTAACATTTTCAATGCTCCGATCATTGTACGCCACGGCGTTCCAATATTGGAAGTTCTAACATTCCGAGTATTGTCAATAATATTGGTCTTCGGAATTGGAAGATATCTACGGAATTCGCAAACCGAGTTATTGATTGATTCTGCGTCATAGAAATTCTAAGTAAACTGCACCCTTATAAATAACATTGACTTTTCAATATCGTCGACGATGACGTAATTCATCCACTATTAATAAAAATCTTCGATAAATTGTCCGGACCACCCACGCGCGTATCCGGTTAGTCGAGGAATCGAGGAAACGAAGAATATAATCGTGATCCCGTTTCGCCTCCGGTAAGTAAACCCTTACAAGAACGTTTCCACTCGCGCACCTGTTATTCCACGCAAAAACAGAACAATATCGTTTCCGTTGCGCTCGAATATTGGAAAACCAGCCCAATATCGAAATTTTGATAAAGGGTAACTCTAGCCTTCTCCGGTTACCCAGCATTCGCGCCTCTAGCGCGAGAGGAGCTTTCTTGTGAAACAAGTATCTCAAAGGTAAAACCATTTTCCGCCGTCGATGGCTACAATTCTTACCCGGAACGAGCTCCAGCGCAATCTAGAGACTTCGTTAAACTGATTTTATTTATTTCTTTCGTTTAATAACTTTAGTTTTCGTAATGAGGAGGCAACGTTAAAAATACGCCACCGGTACGCTTCGATCGATGGAACGGATTATTAAAAAAAAGGATACTTTCTAAAATGTATTGTGTCAATGCTCGAAGTTTGGAGAAACGAAATTTTCTTGATCGTGCTTGAATGGATATTTTTGTTACGGGCAATTTGAAAATGTCAAGAAATTTTGTAGCAACTATACAATGATTTTGCCAAAGAAAGGGTATGTTTAAAATATTGCTTTAAGTTACTGTATAAAATCCAATATAAAACTTGATGACGAGTGAGTAGCCTCGTGTTTGTGAAGCTTGACATCGACAACTTCTAATGAGTGTGGCTCGTAATTGTACGACAAGGGGTTGAACAAGGAACAAAGAGGGAGAGAGTGATCGAAACGACTCGTTTCGGCGACGAAAGAAAGAAATCGTATGCGTCGAAACAGGAAGGGTTTTAAAGGTCGTTCCTGCTAATGGTCGTCCGTCCGTTTCCGGCCGCGGAGTCGCGCAGAAACGGGCCACGCCCTCCGCTTATGCATCGAGTGCATCGCTACAACCCCTGGGAGACGTATTCTTACGAGGAGGACACAGTGTCACGCGCGATATCGATCAGCCGGTGTCACGAAGCGCGTGGTGCACACGCGGTGTCTGCATCGAGCCGCGTGCATTAAACAGCTTTGTTTCGCTTAATTGGATCGACCCAGATCTTCGCGATCCGACGAGGTGCTGCGATGCATATGCATCCGTTGCAACGGAAAATCGGGTACACCTGGAACACGGAAGAACTCTGGACTCCGTAAGAAGCCAGTACTCTTCGACTCGAGCTGATACTCTTCGAGGACAGGGTATTCGAATTAACGATTGCAAGGAGAGGGCGAGGCCTTCGATGTACATTTCTAGATCTAATCATTTTGTTCGCGATTATCTAACGTTAGGGGGGCGATCGATGGTTGTTGAGACATGTAATTTGTAATTTGCGTGATATTCGTTGATTAAAATGAATAAACTTGTCTAAAAATCTATGCTTCAGCGAAATGGAAGATAGATTTCTTCTCGTTGAACGAAGCTGCATCTATATGTCAACAAATAATAAAGTTTCACAAACATCTCAACAGTTTTGATAACAATCGTGAGTCCAGGTAGTTTGTTCGAAAATCTCGTCATTATGAAACAAACCAAATAGCTCCCCTTGAGACCTGTCCACTAAATCGTTTTTTGAAACCGCCAAATCACCTTTCAATGGCGATTTCATCTTCGAGAACCGTAGTATATGTTTCATCGTACGAGAATTAAAAAGCATGGATTTCCAGATTTATACTCGAAGAGAAATGGTACGCGAACGTGAATTAACGAGACAGAGAAGTGCCGACTGGTAAGCACAGTCGCCAACGCAGTTTGCTTTTTGAAATTATCTTCTGACGCGGGGCTCGCGCTCAATGAAATACGAGAGAAATTTCATGCTCTCGAAGATAAAACAGGCGAATCGATTGGCCCGGCGCGTCGGGGAGCCTCCATTTCCCCCCGTCGAAACGGATGTGCGAGTAATTCGTGTGTATACAGGTAATCTGTATACATCGAGAAAATTAAAATGTCCGACGCATCGGATCGTTAATTCACCAATACCCTGCGTCAGAATAACAAGCATCAAATTGCTGGTGGCCGACTCGGTAGCGAAACAGGACCGCTCGTGCTTCATCCAGCATGGCAAACTCTCAGTTTAAAGTTACTTGTGGAACGAGAGAGAAGTGGGACGTGATGGGGTGAGAAAACTCCGCCCTTGTACAGAAATTTGTATTAATTTGTATTTAATTCGACGCGATAGCTGAACCACGAAGACTACGCAATTCATCGAATATAAAAATAAGCTTTCCAATTGAATGAAAAAACTGGTTTCAAGAAAAATTAAAAACAGAATAGGATTCTCAAAAAAGATGGACGAAAGCAAATTGATGGTAAAAGTGTGCCCTCTAAAATGCTTCAACTTTATTAGAGGGTTATAACTAGAGTTATTAAAGGGTTACATCACGAATTTATTTCTATTTGCTGTAAAATGACTATTCCTATATACACTCCTATGGTTGCCTTATATTTGCACAATGTTTTTCAGAATAGTAAATTCTAATTTACGTTACAAAAGATTAAAACACACCATTATTATCAACAACTAACGAATATGTTTTCCACTGTCACAAGATTATCAGAAAGGATAAATAGAAAATTGCTACTGTCTGCGGAAAATACATAGAATAAAATTGAGTAAGCCATGGCCAAATAAGCGGGGGGCGTACAGTTATGGTATCGAACGCGAACTCGTGCCGGCTTGCGAACTTCTGAAATACAGAAACAGTTCCCCGGGAGCGCTTTTCCGGACGGTTTTTCCAACTTGTCTCAAAAAGTAGCCACTACTCCGCTGTTTCCTGTCTGAAAATATAATAACCCGGTGGACCGATACAACGAGAAAAGACATAAATATTCAAAGACGCGGATAATTGAAAATCGCATTCGAAAGCCGTGCGCGTCGTTCCCTCCGCGTTTCCATCGCGACGTTTCTCCCTGGCCGGTCTGATAATAAATTTTGCGGGTCCGGCGAAAATTCCCCGGCGGGGCTCCCAACGACGCTAAATTGTTTCTCCGCTGGCACCGGTTATCACGTGTGTTCGACCTATTATTCCGGAATTTCTATAAAACTCCGCGGAATTTATTGTAAACGCGTGAACTTCACCGTGGAAAACAAAATGTTTCCCGGCGTCGGTCGGCGGGGGTTTTGTTCGCGACCGAGCGTTACCAAATTTATTATTTAATAAGCGAGACACGGCCGATTCCGCGAGAACCCGATTGGATTTACTAATTTCACGTGGCGCGCGGTGTAAACAATGCGTCGACGTGAGTAATGCCAGCGCGCGATATTTCTGCCACATCGTGCGCGCGACGCGGTTTCGAGCGCGTTTGGAACGCGTCGCTGATGATTGGAGAGCTTTCGAAGCCCGAGGTTTTAGCACCATTGCGCTTGGAAAGCGACATCAGTGGCCCAGAATTGCGTGTTAACGGCCCTCCATTGTACTTCGCTCGTTCTAACTGCCTTTGCGCTCGCGCGCGTGGTTGTAACGATATTCGAAGTTGAAAAGGGGCTTCGCGCGGCTAGTGCGAAGGGTGGTTTGCGATGCATTAAAATTTTCGAGTCTTTGTTCAAGGGCAGATGATAAATTATGAAGAGTAATTTTTCACCCCGCCTGTTAATGGTTCTCCGCGCGTTCTACGAGTGGTAACTCAATTTCTGAATGACAAATTGCATCGATTAAAATCTGCACGAGTTAAGTGGAACGTAATAATCAAAACGTAAGTTAAACGGGAAAATTTCGAGCCGCGTATAGTTGGTTCGGTTATTTATTGTAAACACGTGTCGTTACGAAATCCGATCAACCGGTATCGAACGTTAATCGGCGAACGGTTCGATCGCGTAAACGCAATGAATAATTTAAAGAACGATTCAAAAAGACGGGCATTCTACGGGCAAGGACTGTGTGCAACCGCTTTATTATTCTACCTATTTACAGGTTGTGGCATTTTTATATCGAAAATACCGTATACGAGAGAAGCTTTTAGAGAGAAAAGGGTGACTGTAACTTTTTTACTGCTCCGTTTTATCCTTTGCAACACTATTGTGTTATTCAATAATATATTAGCACATTTTTCAAAACTGGGTTAAAGAATTTATGTTCTACGTGACAAGGGACCCGAAAAATTGAAAACTTTTAGTCGTAAATTTATGATGTAAACTTCCCTCGATATAATATAATACGCTTCACCGCGTATTTCACGTGGTGAATTTCTATTCAATTTATATCTCTAAAATCTATTAAAATTTTATCCCCAATTTAACCCGAACGATGTGTTACTCTGGTCCAAATAACTTGTAGGACAATTTCCTTCCTCCAGCTCCACAGAGAGTCATTTAGAGTAAACATAAATATAATAGATACGTGAGAAAAGGAAACTCACCCCACGTAGGCGAAGCTGCACCACCAGTTCATCATGGCCTCCGAGAACAGTGTTTCCCCGATGTTGTATCGACGACGCAGGTCGTACTTGTTCACGTCGAGCGGGACACCCAGTACGTAGGGCAGCTCCTCGCCGTGGACCGTGCGCTGACGTTGTTGCTGCAACAATAACGAGGCCACTCGATATACTTTCCCATCGAAACAAAGTTTCGCGCGACTAGTTCTCCGAAATTTTTTGATCCATAAGAAGGGCCAAGAGTGCTCCATCGGTTCTCGAAAATCCCGGACATTGTTATTAACTTCCGATGTACTCTGGCCTTTCGATGCAATCGTAACTTATCAGAAAGGCTCCTAACTCTGCCCCAATCGATACGTTCGACGGAGGATGTTTCTATTGGGTCACTGTAGAAACTTTCGGTAATTTCAGTGATATTTCGAGCCCCGAGTTTGACCTTGTTCGTCTACGTAGTTTCGAGGTAGTAAGAGGGCTTCCCAGATACGGAGGGGGCCAATGTGTTTTAACACTAAACCTACCTGGCACTTCATGTATAACCATTTCTACCATAACTGGTCAAATGACCAGTCTTTCGTTTTCGAGGAACTTTTAATTTTTGCATTATGTGTATAGAAAGTTGTGTTTTGAAGATTATTCATAAGGTATCCTCTTTTATGTCACGTATGTTTTCTTAAAGCATTGAATTCTAAGAACGTGTACAAAAATATTCAATACTTTTACTCTGAACTTGCATTAGGATACGGGATAAAACGCCCTTGATAACGAATTTTTATCGCACAACAGTCATATATAAACAATAGGAATAGCTGAACTTGTTTGGGTATATAGCGTCAAAGTAAATTGCAAAACAAACATAGAAGACAGCATAAATAATAATAGTTTTTACACTCACCGGATAGGGGATAAAATGCCCTTTAAAATGAGCGCTCGAACAAGCCGATAGCGTAATTAGTTCCGGAGATATAGCGATTTTTGTTTCAAATCGACCGCGTGACTAGTTACGGAAGCGCGAGGTCAATGACCGTGAATAGTAAACAGTGCGTAGTAAATTCTTGGAAATACTACGCCCGGAACTAGGTCACGGCAGTCACGTCCGTGGGGTAGGTCAGCACGATGCACGTGCGACAAAGAGGTCCGACGCGCCAGACGAAGACGGAGACAGCCCAATTAAAAAAATTACCTTTTACATAATTTACGATATCTCGAAAACGGAAAGTCCGATCGCCAAAAACCAAAAACCACTTTAAAGGGGAAGGTTCACCGCCGCCAACAGTGGTTCAATTATTAATAAAATACCAGTAGTTTCGGAACTGCACGCATCTAAAGTTTCAATATTTTTAATGCGCTTTAATCGGCTCTCGTAAGACGGTGCGTGGAATTTTAAAAATTACCTCTACACATAAATTACGATATCTCGAAAACGGAAAGTCGGATCGCCAAAAACCAAAAGCCATTTTAAAGGGGAAGGTTCACCGCTACCAACGATTACTTAATAATGCATAAAACTCTAATTGTTTCGGAACTGCACGCGTCTAAAGTTTTAGTATATTTAACACGCGTTGTTAGACTGTTTTAAGACAATGGAGACTGAAGACTCCTTTCGTCTTTGCTGTACGTCGCTTGTTGACGATACCAGTTAAACGATATCGGGGCGCAAACTCGACGAACAACGTCTACGGCTTCACCGTTCGTAAATTTTATATCTAATGGCACCGTGCAGCCCTCTAACCCGGAGTTGAAAACCAGAAACGTTGTTACATTCGGTTTAACGACACCGCTGGTCACTGTACTCCGAGCGTAACAGCCCGGCACGCAGCGATGATAAAAATAGTTGGCCGGGTTCCAAATGGGTTCGTAGCTGGGATTTTTCTCTCTCTTTCCCCTACCCCCCCACCTGGCTCCGCGCACGAACACAATGAATAGCCAGTAGGTCGCGGTCCGTGGTCCCCCGGCTAAGGAATCCGGCGCGGAAGAAAATGAATAAAATGCAAAGTACACCGTCTAATCGTACGTGCTCCAGTTTCCCCGTCGGACGGGAAGAGCGGCCGCGATTTATGCGCTCCCTTAATATTTCTGCCGGCTTCCGGGATCCTTGACCTGGATGAATTTGTCAGGCAGCGACGGTAGACTGCAGCGTGCACGAGACACCGGCGCAGTGTCGTGAAGTTTCTTCGGTGGCCCGAGACACGAGCCTGACTAAGGGAACTGAGTGCGGGGGCCTCGAGATGGTAAAAAGAAGCGGCGGACTTAGTTCTTGGGAAACAGCCATATGCTTCGAAGGGATAGGTCGCTTGGAAACGAGCTACCTTAAATCAGGATACTTAACGCTAACCCTACCGACACTTCGAATGACCAGTCTTCCTTTTACTCTCTTACTAAGCAACGTGCGTACTTTTTTTGCATTATTTTTTCTTAACACCTGCATCTTAAAAATCTGTAGAAAAATATTCAATGATTTTATTCTAATTGTGTATAAGTTGTTGTAAGGAGCTCTCGAAGGTTCCTTTTATGTAGGGTACGAAGGTAAAGCTTCATTAGTTTCGTGGTCGATCCGCCCACGACTGGAGTCTACGTTAGGTCTGCAAGGGTTGCTTCTGGTTGGGGTTAAACTATCGACTGACTTCACATTAGGTCTAGACAGAATACCTGGCTGGTTATACAGTCCACAACAAAATTATAAGACGTATTTGAATCTCTAGTGTTTTAAAGCAGTGTTTGTTAAAGCAGTAACGTTTGGAACAGTTGCTGACCAATTATTAAACACTGAGGATTGTTCCTAACACATTGGTTCACTGCTTTAAAAATTAGATACAATTAAATGTACACACTGATAGCAGAACGTCGGAACGCTATTAGAAATTTACTCAAAAAACAAATCAGGGGGTGCTCCAATTGAGCATTCAAAGTTAGGCATTTGATTTGTTAACGAGAAACGGAAGGATACCGAAAATGTAAAATTAATAACCGGCAAAGCAACACCAAATGTAAAACGAATCGTTGTGGGTACGATTATTTCTCAGCAGGATAATGCATCTATGTCATGCAGGATAATGACATCGCGTGTCCTCTCTCCTCAATTTAGTCACATTTCTTTTTGCATTTACATTAGACAAATTATACTGTTCTGCAATTGAGGATAATAAATATCCTCGTTTCATGCGATCGTAAATCCTCAATTCTTCTAAAAGGATGCTTTCTCTTTGTCAGCGTGAACAAAATATTGCTATACGTTAACGTATTAAGTTACGCTTGTAACATCGAAGAAAAATAGAAAAATGGATTCGATGGTAATTGTTTACAAGAAACTGTTTACGATATCACTAATATATTGTTTTATAATTCAATATAAATCAAGGTCTAGGTTAGATCGAGTCTAATTTATATTCGTGGCTGGGTCTTGTCTAAAAATTTACGATAATCATTCTTTCCCCGGGTGTCTGACATGCAACGATCAATTTTTAAGAGGGTAACTATGGTGCTACGTGTGAACAGAAACGTACTTACGCCAGAGTAGTCCTGCATCGCCTTCGGATGCGAGAAAACGTACATGTAGCTTTTCGGGTTCGACCTTGAGTGTAAATTCGCGGTCATCATTAATGGCGCGACGGTCCCGCTGTCGGAGATCGCCTCCAGAACCAGATCCCGATTCTTCGTCGCGTACTCGTTCGTAAATCCGGCGGAGAAGTCACCGTATTGTTCCAGAATCTTCGATAGGATGAGCTCCGGTTCGAGTTCGTGCGTTGCCTGGCGACGAAGGAATATACCATCACTTACCCCACGGAATGTCTAGCGAATTTCGGCGGATTCGATATCGATGCACCCACATTTCACCCCACGAATTTATTCTCCCCGACCGTTCCACCGATTGCTTCAATAATTTTTAAATTCTTTTATCGTGCAATAGTGCTTAAACTCTTTGTCGTTCGCGACGTCGGCTAGTTTAAATTCACGGAAATTTTCCTATCGGTATATCGATCTTGTACCTTAGCGTGATCTCTGAGGACCTCGTCCCTCTGGCCGTCCAGCAATCCGTGTAATAAAGCAACCGGTGGTAGAATATGAAACTTCTCCGATTCCGTAACGCCGTACATCAAGTCGAACCTGGACAAAAGGATAGTTAATGTCAGTGATATATTTCTCAGCCCAATGCTGGAATTGTACACGACATTGAGGTATATTGGTTGGAATACGTTTGTGGGTCGTATAGAGTTCTACCTTTGATCAGATTTTTATCAGTGATTTATAAGTGTTGCAAATTCTAGGATATTCAAGGTTCGTATGATTTCTTTTAGGTTTTTATTCTACTCGTGATTATTGCTATTATTTTTTAGAAAATCTGAACTGTCTTGCCAGAAAACGTACATTATTTTTACTTTGTATTAATAGGCGATATTGAAGTGACATTAAAAACTGTTATTTTCAAATGGAAAATTATACCAACTGAAATTTGACAAAATGTGATTCCTCTGATATAAGATGTATTGTGCTTTGAGCCATACCTGCCAAACAATTGGCGATTTTTCATCAAGTTCAAAGGTTTTTCGGGAATGACAGCGTTGTCAATCAGCGGGGCGAAGGCTGGCACGTATTTCGGTTTGTGAATCTTCACGTCTAGCAACGCGTTCACGTCTTGGCCGCGCAAACAGAACGCCAGGTCGCTGTCGGTGATGGTGGGGCAGTTTAAAGCATGCGCCACCTGAAAAATGATTCGAGCCATTTCTCAGCAACCCAATGAACGTTCCTCCGATCGCGGCTGCTCCTCGACGTGACGAGAAGCGATATTTCTTCCGGGCGAGTTTGAATCGCGAATCGTTTCTTCTCCGTTCTTTTTTGCGCGACCGCGAATACAAAGTCGATCGAGTGTGCCACGTCGCCGGGGGAACGTTGAAATTCGATAGGAGTTTGACGTCGACAGAGTTTCCAGTGAATAACACAGAGCGATCCTTAACCCTTTCGATGTTTAGATCGTACAACTTTCCAACAACTATAAAAAGCACTAACGGTGCATAGAACGTACACTGTGTGAACTGGTACGGTTATTAAATTCGTAAGTAAAATAATTGTATGTCTTTTCTAAGTCTCTTGCGAGAAGCAATTTTTAAAAATGACACCACGTCTTTTTGGATTACTTGTAACGAATATAACTAATTTTACTGGTAAAAAAAGTAGCCATCCAGAAGTTTATTAGTCTCATAGCATTGCAAACTCTGAAAAATATTGAACAGGAGGCAACTCGATGCAGTTTTGCCTGATATTAGATTCCCCGAAATAATTAACGTTTCATATTGATTTCGAGAACATCCGAGACGGTGTACAATTTTTCTGTTTACTTCGAGCTATAGATTTGCCGTGCACCTTTCGGACGTATTGACAGAGAACGAAGAGTGATCGTGAGAAAGTATAATACTGTGCTTGAAACCAAGATTGAGGAACGACCATCTCAACAGGAATAATAAAATAAAGGAGTGTTGCTCGGGCTGGCGCAATCGATCAATTTCGTGTTTGAAAAAGAGCCGGGAATACATGCGTTTCGATGGATATTCGTCGGGAAAGAAGTACCTGTTTGGTGATCTGCAGAGGCGCCTTCCCGATGGCGTCTGCGCTCAACGCCGAGCCTGACATCAGAATGGCCCGCTTAAACAGACCTGCACAGACGGGTGGCGGAGAAACGATTAATAACGCGCGTCCCTCGGGATCGGACAGCCGTCCGCCCCCGCGCGTAAAAATATTAAGTCCGGTTATTTTTCATTGCACAATATAATTATTGACCGGACACCGGCGGCATTGTGCCTTCGCCCGAACGAGAAAGGTTCTTTTTGGCCCCCGCCGCAGGTGAAAAATGACCGTCGTCCTCCTGCCTTTCTTCCTTATCCTCTACACAATGGTTATTCTTTTCCTTTTTCCATCTCCCGAGGGAACGCACCGGTCTTCGAGGGAGTGTCATCCCCGACGTTTCGTGCGGTTTCTGTTCTTACGTTTCCGAACGCGTTTCTCGACTGTCTTGACAGTCGTCCGACATATAATCGAGTTACACTACTTGCTGGAGCGCCGGGGACGACCCGAATGACCGCAGGATCACTAAATGACACTTTTTCCCTCTCAAGAAATGTAGGTTACTCGTCCTCGAGATAGACCCGCTATTAACACCGGAACTATCCAAGTGTAAAAAAGTTTACTCGACTGGATATTCGAAAATTGACCGTAGTTTTCTATAAGAGAACGAATAAACGTTTATTTCCATCGTTTTAATTTCTTTGGTACAAACGAATATACTATAATTGTTGGTGGTTCCAGCGTCGACAGCCGGAAACCAGAGTTGGGCAAATTTTATTCGCCAAAAATGTTCAAAAAATTTTAAACTCGTTCGCAAATCAGTTCCCGGTGAATTTATATTCGTAAATTGGAATCCATTAAAGGATTTTTTTAAATCGATATCCAGGCGAGCGAAGTTAATTTAATTTGACCGATCCTGGTGGAAACGAATTATAGTAAAAACAATTTTAGAATATAGTATTTTAGAGATTACTGATAAAAAAATCTGATTTATTTTACAAACTACTTTATGAATTGTAAAAAAAGTTTTTTAGTCCCTGCGGCGATTACATTTAATAATAATATTCGGGATAAGCTTCTAACTCGTTTTCTGCCGTTTAGCTACATCCTGTCACGCGCCCTTCCCATCCACGTCGACCGTATCAAACTTTTGCGTTTCTGGAATCGAAGTTTACACGAGCCCTTATCAATTTCGCGAAAACGGCGGCTACGTGTTCACCCGAAAGCGTCCTCTTAATATTCAGCTATCGCAGAAGTCGCAAACACGCGACACAGCAATAACCGTTACCTTTCTTATTAGCCACAGGGCTGATAAGCAGTAGATTAGCAAAAATGGCGCCGGTACCGTGGCCGACCAACGTAACGCTGTTCGGATCACCCCCAAACTCGGCGATGTTCTCCTTGAGCCAGAGAAGGGCCGCTATTTGATCTAGGAGCCCGAAATTGCTGGCGGTGTCGTCTCTGATACCGGGCCTCAAGAAACCTGTATCGTGATTTACGTTAATTGAACCGAAATCCCCGACACTGTTGCGTCTATTTCTTGGACAAATGTTAGGTCTCCGTGTGACAAAGGGCACACGTTTTCGTTCGACAGTTAAAGCAAGTTTTAGTATAACGTCGAATTTGGTTAACCCATATAAGTTACGATAGATTAGAGCTAAATTTAAATTACAGGTTGAGCAAAATTACAATCTGAATGGTGGAATTAAATGACTATTGGTTTAGGGTTAGATTAAATTCAAGTTAGCTTCCGTCGAGGGAGTTCCACGTTTTACAGTGTATAGTTTTAAGAAAGAAGAATTTTCACCGCGATACGAAACGTTAAAGTTTTAAAAGTTCGAGGAAGACGGTCTGTTACAGAAGAGACCGACGATCGGAAACTTTATAGCCTCTTTCGCGAAACCACACTTTGAAGCTTATGTAAGCGATTCCTCAAAAATTAATGAAGTCTCGGCTTACAATTCTAATAGCTTGTACATGGCCATCCGTGGCGCTGGGAATTATATCGACATCGATCACAGTTCCGTTGTTACCAATAATAATTTGTTTCGTTCAAAGTAACGCTATTTTACAAATTTTCAATTTTATCATGAATGATCAAATATAAACTTAAAACGATGTCTGTGCTTTGTCTAAATTTAACTAAAAAATCACGAAACTATTGATGTTCATAAACCCTGTATATCCAGAATAACTTCTAAACGATCCACATAGTAGTATTTTTTCTACAAATCTCTCAATATTTCCTTTGTTTCAGGACATCCAAACATTCCCAATTCAGTCAGAATTGAAATTAAAAAGATACTCTAGAAAGGAATAATACAATCAGACAATAGAATTTCTATCGTAATTAAAGTACCCATGAAATATTTTTTTTTAAATTCCCCATCCTTCGACGTCTCTGAAATCGTCGAAATGGAAACCTCGACGGGAACTGCTCATACTGGAGCAGCCTATCCCGCGTACCAAGAAATCACTGCAGAATGTAAACTGTCCTCGTGCAACCGGATCGTTCTTTTTGCACGCCAGAGCCACGCCGTGGGCCATATTTTTCCTCCCTTGTTTTGCAAAGGGCTGAAGTTATCTGCGGACTTCGCGCAAGCTAACTGTACCCGACCACCGGTGGCATCGGGGAGGGCGAAGTTAACTAAGCGCCTTCCCACCACTTTAACCTAATTTATGATTATGGTTCCGCGAGCCTCCGCTTTCTTTTCCCCCCCCCCCCCTGGCCCCCACCTCTTAAAGCACCCGCTCTTGTCGGATGTAGCGCGTTGGAGCTAACGCCGCGACGTCCGTCCATTTGCATTGCGCGCGGCGGTCGCGTTATCATTTTAGGGGAAAGGATAGGCGGAAGCTCGTCGTTACGGGGGTCGCGGAGCGTCGAGCGAAAGGGTGGAGGGGGGTGGTAGGGGGGAAAAAAATAGAGCAGGCCGTGGAGAAAAGCGCGGGTGGATCGATGGGGATGTTTCGCGGGCAAAAAGGACGCCTTTGTCTCGGCCCGCGAGCCTCCTTTCCCATCGAGAAGTTTCCTTTTGAGCGATATACGGCTGCCCGGGGTTACATGGAATTTTACGACCGTCCCCTTGCCCCCTCCCCTCACCACCTCCTGTCCCACCTGTACTCGTCGCGACTTTTTACCCTTGTGTAATGGATAGGAGTTTTTCTTCGGACGATAAATGTTGGAGCGTGTAATTGGACGTAAAAATTCCGCGGTGCCGGCTTGTGTGTCGCGTGACTTTGGTCGCGTGATGTTTTGCGCGAGGAATGTGAAATAATACAGGGCGGGGAAGGATAACTAGAGTTTGCGTAAGGTCGACGGTGTACTCAAAAGCTGATGAGACCGAAAACATGATGAAGGTTCCTGGGGTTTTAGAAATTTTGAAAATTCCAACGATGCAAATTGAATTTTAATCGATAAATTTTTTGGAATACTATGAAAATTACACAAATTTCTTTTCAGATACCGAGTTCGAAACAGTGAGACGATAAAAATTTCTTGAAAGTTCTTGGGAATTGAATTTCTGGAACGAAGGGCCCGAACCGAGTTATTTATACGAGCGGACTGTAAAAGATACGGAAAAGGTGGTACTTCCCTTCGTGAACGACGACGGATCGATAGATAGTTGCAGGAGTGAAATAAAAAGAAGTTTGTCGAAGATCAAAAACCGATGGAGCAGTCAAACGTGAACATTAATGAAGCAGAATTTCTGATTTCATGCAAGACTGCTGCCAGCGGCGTTTGGAAAGATTTCATAAATTCGTATCGACGTGTCAGCGAAGGCTTGTTCCACATTTCCCGGCGAAATTTCGAATCCAGAACGATTATGATCTATTTTGTTTTTATCCTCTCTTCCATCGTTCCTCCATTTCCTTCGACATCGCGGAACCTTTTGGCGAGAAGAACCATGCACGTTTAAGGGGAGTTTTATGTTTCGACGTGATGAAATATAGGATACCTTCTGGAATTTATAAACGAAAATCTACGATATTCAACGTTTTGATGTTCGCCAAACTTATTAAGCGATCATCGAAGAACCTGTACAAACTTTCATTCATAAATATAATTAATTTCAACGATCTGAAATACGAAAATAAATGAATAAAATTGAGTTTAACGCTGGAGACTGCGGCAGACTGTATTCCTCAAGCTTTGTTTGTTTAAAAAATAATTTACTTTAATTGAAAGAATTCTTTCCACGTGTAAAACGTGGAGCCCGCTTTAGGGTTTGTTATTGGGACTCAGTTATCGAGGCGTACTATTGAAACGCGTCTGATCAGAGTGCTTGATCTACTTACCGAGGATGCCTAAGCGAAAGTTGATAGTGACGAAGACGACGTTACCATAAGCTGCCAATATAGTACCGTCGTAGGGGTTGCCACTGTTCCATTCGAAGCTCTCCCCGTGGATGAACACCATCACAGGGTACTTTCTTAGGGTCTTCTGGCCTGTCAGCAGAAGGGTGAACGTTTTACAAAATAAAGAAAAACTTCTGATTCCTTTCATCCGTAACTACGCCTCGTCAACTCTCATACGGTGAAATAATAACCAAATTTTGTATAAATTTGGAAATTATATACGATACATTTCCGATACAACATTTATCGAACATTTTCAAACAGGAAATAATGATTAAATATTTAGTTGGGCATTGTTTGAAATAAGTAAACCTATTATTAATTGGTCATATGGTTAATGTTAATTAAAATTAAATTTATTCGCGAACGAGTGACAAGCGAACAATGCAATTAATTGTTCGTACCGAACATAAAATAAAATTCGTTACAGCGGAAATTCATCGGAACAAAATTTGAATTACTTCGGGGTAATTATTTACGTGGACACTTCGATACAATTGAAATCAGTAAATCTTTGTTTGTACGGTAAATACGTCAATCACTCGCGATAATTGATGGAAATGCAATTCCATAAATATTTATCATTGTTATTAATTAACATCTGTCGATGAATAAATTTCAACAAAGTCCAAATGGATTTTAACAAACGACAAATGGAACATTTTATGGAAACTTTTCCCTGTCTAGTAACCGCGACGATACCGAGAGGAGGGTATCCTCTTTCGTTTATTAGCAACAGTAATATCCTGTCTGAATTATGATTTCCACGAGGACGTCGTACCAGCCAGAGGTTTTTCGCGACGGCTTTTGATTTACGTCGGTCGAAAAATTATCGGCCGAATTTGCCTACGGGAGACGACGCACGCGCAAAGTCAGGTTAGTTTCAAAATTTATCACTCCAACCCCCTCCCCCCGCGTCCCTGTTCACAAACTATTCACTGTGAGTTTTCAGTATTAGGGTATCTATAAATTCTTCTCTACCATCCTGTAGACGACGTAGTTTCCTTTTAGCGAACGATCCACAAATTAGAGTAGAGCGAACCGCCCCAGTCACCCCCGTACCTACAACCCTCGAGATTTATCGGGGAATCTGTTTTACACGACTCCAGTTTCCATCGAGCAACGAACTTCGCACTGATATTTGAATACCGCGTCGATCAGAATTAAATTAAACCGTTCGTTTATTCTTCGATCCTCACCAACCCCTAATAGCATAACTAAAAATTGGAGGAGTAGAATTTTTCGCTTCTCGTTATATTCATTCCTATACGTTTCTTTGCAAAATAAATTACCTGTGTGCTTGCAACATTTTTGGCGAAATATTTCACAGACAAGTTTCCTTTTAGTTTCTTTTGAAAAAAATTTGAATTAACAAGCTAGCAAAAAATGAATATTTTCTGTATTTTTTTGGTATACATCAAAATATATAAAACAAATATTGGATACAAAATATTGTAGTTTACAATAGTGAATTCTTCTCTTACTGTAATTTTATCATTCGAATTAAAATTCTTCCTTTGATATACAAACACTAGAATATATATTATGAAAAGAGTGTTCACGTTTTTGTATAAACGGAATACTCTTTCCCGTAAGAAATCCTATCGTATCAGTTTCCACGCGTTGGAAAACGATAAAACGTTATTTTTTATGTTCACCGGAATGGCTGAGTTTCTGAACTTTCCGGGGCAAAAACAGCAAAAGACAAGACTCCACGGTGCAACCCCCCCCCTCCCGTAAACTGTAAACTGCCCGGACTTTTAACTGCCAGCCTTTTCTAGGTCCGAACGTTCCTTTGAAACGGAGCGAAGTCTGTTGCTTAAGTAATTTCCGGCAGAAGTTTCGGTGTAACCTTACCCTCCATGTACATATTTTTTCGTTCTTTCCCCGGACGGATAGAAGTAATGGCGGTGGTTGCGCGCGTGTCCAATCTCGAAACCCACCATACGGCATTATTGCGTCCATCTTCGCGGACGAGCGAGAAAGACGAGTTTTTTATTAGTCGGTGCACCCGCGGCAAACACCGCCTTTGCTAAATATTTCGCGGCGGTGGCCGAATTTGTTATGCTAATAGGACGCCGTATGTTTTACCCCCGACGTCTGCCGCGGACGTGTGCCTCGGGGGCGTGAGAAAATGTTGCGAGTAAATAGGGAAGAAATAAACGTTGAAACGGCGAATAAAAGGGATCGTCGGTGTCGTTCGCGACTTGTTAACACGTTTATGGGCTGCCAGAGAAATATGGAGCTATACGAGAGGTAAAATTGAATCATTTGCCATAGAGGGGTGGAACGGTAGGTTATTACATGAGCTCCTTCCCGCGCGATGGTCGGTTTTTATCGAGCGACGTTCATTATTTTTAATAACGCTTCAGCCCTGTTGTCGAGTACCGAGAGCTATAATATATTCATTGGTTTTGCTTCGTTCAAACGTTTCTCTTTAACCCTGAATAACTTAAGGTTGGAAGTTTGGAGCGTACACTATTTGTCAGGTGTTAAAGATTTTCTGGAAATATTTATTTAACAATTTGTTTCAATTTTAACAAAATTATAACGTTACTATATTTTATTCGTTTCCTAATATAGGAAATTGCAATTGCCCGGAAAATACTTACATTTGAGATATCGAAAGCACGGGTATGGTCGACGAACCTCTGGTCATCGATGCGACAACTTGTTGCTATGACTTTCTAATGTCGATACTTGATAACTGTTAACTTTAATAAAAATTCTTCGCGCCCGGAAGTACGATGAAACGATTTAAATGAGATTTATATTCGACGCGAGAGCGAGTTAGTTTCCAAAATATTCGAAATGTCCATATTTTAGGCGACCATTTTGCGCGGTAGAGACCTAACGAAAAACGGGTCGATACGATCGTACCAAAGGCACTCCTGCAATAATAAATGCGCCGTGTGGCCGCTTCCATGAGATCGTATCGACCTATTTTCTGTTGCGTTTCCCCGCAAATGGCCGCGTTAAAAAGGGACTCGTGTGATCCCACCCCTATTCAGGGGATGGTTCATCTTCGTGGTTAATGACGGGGATTCATCACCGCCCAAATGTCAGAAGGATGCTCGGAACGTGCAAATAGCGCGTTAACTCGAGATCCGGCGGGCTTGGACATTTTGATTAACTTTTGTTTTTGGGTCAGAGAAATTGATTTTTCCCGAGCGCGTGTGATCTCGCGAGAGAAAAAGGAACGAACTGCGTCGACGATGCTGTCGCGGCGCAGTAAATTTCATTAAACAAAAGCTAAAAAAAACAAGGCGACATTTTGAAACTTTCTATCAAAGTCGTCTATACAAATTTTTTTTAATGCCCTCCTATTGTACACATAAATCGAGTTTTATAAACAAAGGTTGAGTTCTGTAAAAGTCACTGCCAATCGCGTAGAACAAGTAAAAAATAGATAGGTACATGCGACCATAATTATCTCGAATAAAATAACGAGAGAAGTTTTATAATTTGCATCAACTTTTTGCTTGCACTTTTTCGTGTTTTAAGTTGATTAAACATTGCATAATTCATTTTTCATCCTACATTTTAGGATGTTTTATGAAAAAAATTTTCGTAATAATAGATGAGGGTTTCATTGAATTGCCAACAATTCCAAGTGTCACATTATTTTTCTGCTCGTTGCCCTCCAGTTGTAATCAGTGAGGGTACTTTATGAGTTTATTAATTTATAGTTTATCAGTATCTATTTTTCTAAATAGAGAAGGAAATATTCGAAATTTCCTGGGCATCTAGACACGAGGAAAACTTCGATGTCGCTGGTGGAAAAAATTGCTGGAAATAGCGTCAACCGGATCGCTGAGATAAATGGAAAAGCTCGCTGGCTAAGCTTCGGCCGTGAAATTTCCATGAAAATTAAAAGGCGGATCGATACAGTCCGCGGGAAATTGACGTATGGCGATCTCGTGCAACGGGGGATACTCTCATCTTGGTTCGACGGTGCACGTTGGCGCGTCGCGGCGTAGATCGAAACATCCGCTATAAATCAATCGACGCGAACCTATATCCTAATAAAAAGTACCGACGTCGACGTTCGTGTAGCTGTAAAAAGATATCGCGTGGTAAACTTCGCCGCGGCAATATCGAGGAAACCGGACCGTCCAGAGGAACATATTTATGTTTAAACCTCGTTTCCCACGGTCTTCGGTGCACTGTAATATTACAACACTCGAGCTTTCCGAGCCACGGCATCGCCCGTTAGCGTCTGCCACGAAATGGAAAACGAAAATGCGCTGCGGCCTTGTATTCGCTGTGTCCCAGGATTTTCCGCCCAACCCTCGCAGTATGCTCTACGTCACTGGTGGCCAAATTCCGGATTTCCCACATCCTCGCTTCGCCTCCCATATATTTCAACAATTTATTAAATTGGAGTACAACCCATAAATAACAAATAAACTGTAATACCTTTTCCGGTCTAATTTACAAGATTTATTTGTGCGCGTTTCACTGACGTTTTAAAACTTTTTAAAACTAAGCTACCTGAGCTACCAAAAATTAATATAAAACATATTGTACAAGGTCCAGACTGGAATACTCCCTTATTGAATTTTATTCTAGATGGAAATATTTATCATTGCCAAGTATTACAAGCAAATTTCAAGCACGACGAGAATAGATAAAAGTTTATACAGAGAATCGTTCTGCTGGTAGCATAAAGGAGTCTAAATCAAACTCACCGACGCGCCTCTAAATTTCCACGCGTAATCGAGCTCGACCCTTTCCGCGGGATTCGAAGCAATAACCACCCAAGTGCGCCCCCGGCGCGCGAAAACAATAACGCGACATCGACGATACGAGCGATAAGTAACGGCCGCCGTGCTCGTGAAATTAAAAGTTCCATTCTTCTTATCGCCCAGGACCCGCGCGTAACTTATATTCCGACAGTATAATTCACGATACGAATCAACGTAGTCGCCAGCTGCGGCGTTTCTGCATAAAAACAAATCGACGTTCGATTTACGAGCGACCCCTTCGAGGGCGGCTTTTTCCGCGTAATCATTTTCGCGACCCATCGTTTCTGACCGGCGTCGACTAAATATTTATAGCCAATAGATAGTGTTTCAAAGTCGATGTAC